CAAGAAGAGTGAAATTATAATTAAATTCAGTACATTTGCTACAGCATAACTGAAATTTGGCAATAGAATAAAATCTCACAATTTAGCAAACTTAATATACAAACTCAATTCTACATACAAATTTTAAAAAAGTAGACTTTTAAATGTATGCCTCTAATATTGTTCAAAGTATACTTGTCCTCAAACATGGATCATTTAAACAAAAAAAACTATTCATGGTCACACATTTCAAAAAATCATGAGATTTGTGGGACCAGCAGTTAGCGCAACGGCTATGTCGTTGGACTCCCATGTAGTCAACTGCGGTTTGAGTCCCGGACCTGGTGGCTTAAATTCACGCCGGGCATGTGTGTGTGCGTGCCCAATATCCCAAAAAGAGAAGGGATTGCAGTGTGGGCATCCCCCCCAGGGGGTGATTTATTGCTTTCTGTCTCTCTGTCTCTCTCTGTCTTTCTGGTGAGCGCACGTGCCCTATAGCAAAAACCTCTCAAAAAAAAGTAAAAAACAAACGAACAAACATGAGATTTGTGAAATTCCTGAAAATGGTTGGCAAATTCTCTAAACTTAAAATTTCAAAATAATTTTTTTTAATTCTAAAATTAATCTTTGCCAAAACATCCACTCATCATTTAACATTTGTTATTTTTACATCTGACTTCCACTATTTGTATCTCTGGATCTATGCACCTGGGTATGTGACCTTGGACAAATAATCTCTAAATCTCAAATCTGAAAAACTGAAAAAAGGTAATATTTACCCTGTAGGACTGCTATAAAACAAATTCATAAATATAAAGCACTTACAACAATGTCTGACACATTATAAGCTATCAGTGTTGTCTATTATCATTATTATTCTGTATTCTTTTACTGTGAATGTGCACACCTACTGATAGTAGCTTCAATTTCAGCGAAGGATAGCCAAAGACAATTTTAAAAAAAGGTAACAATATGAAGACTAATTTTCAAGTAAAAGCAAACTTTTGCCTTGTTCTGCAAAATAATGCAAAAATAAATTTTATGTTAAAGCTAATTTAAATGTACAGCATTTCCATCATGCCTCTACAAGAAGGGATACATCCTATATACCTATCATGAAAATCAGAAAAATATCTAAAATATTCCAAGGCCACTGAGGAAAAGAGATAATCATAAGTATTTGTCTACTTAATAAAATAAGTAAAACAGACCCACCAGTTTATAATATATATATATATATAATTAAATTTAGTAAATAGTAATATATTATCTAAAAATGAATTGATTGCATTTATCATATAAAAGAAAAAACTAAGGAAAGGAAACCAAGATATTTTCTTTTAAGTTGGAGGAAAAGATATTAATCATGGAAAAAGAAAAAAGTATGATGAGAAATCTATTAGGTATTTAGGAACAGATCATACAGGTAACAGTTCATGCAATTTTTTTACATGCACGTAGTCAGAAAACCAAGTGAATGTTCAGACACCTCCTAAATGAGCTGTATGAGTTTAAGAAAGCTGATAATTCGACCTCTCTAGGCCTGAGTTAGTAACATTTCATAAGGTTATAAGACATCAATGAGTTAATATATACCTAACACTTAAAACAACTCAGCACATAGTGAGTACTAATAAATTTTGCCTGGGCCAAATGTGGCATAGGTATAATGGAACTGGACCCACAGAGAAAGGTCCTAGGCTTGTGTCCTGAGGTCTCCTGGTACACATCAGGTATGTAAGTGCACATGATCTTGGTTGGCTGCAGCTGGAGGCAGACTGTCAAATGAAGACCTGTTGAGGGTGACCTTCTGTCTGTCTCTCATAAAATAAGTAAATAAACTTAAAAAGAAATGAATATTAGGCCAGCAGGTGGAGTGCGGTTAAGGAACTGAATTCCCATATGGCCAACACAGTTCCAGTCCTGGACCTGGTAGCTTGAAAACTCACATAAGGTGCGCGTGAGTGCATGCCCCAAATTCTGAAAGCATGGACTAGGGACTGCAGTGTGGTCATTCTACCTGGGAGATGATTTTTCATCTTCCCTTTCTCTGTCTTTCTCTCTGGTGAGCACACATACCCTGTGGCAAAACCTTTAAAAAAAAATCTGATCATTTTGTTATTATTTTTTCAATTACCAGTCACAGTATGGATACCCCATTTATGAATATGCATGTTAAGAAGTCAAACTGGGGCTTCAGCTCTCTGAGAACACTGGAAGGACTATGCCCTTGCCATAAATTGTCTAGTGTCTCAATTCCTCTCTGCCACTGTGAGGACATACGCTCCCATTCATACAAGATCATACATACCCTACTGCCATCACTCACCCTGTTGTGTTCAAAGGATGGGATCTAATATTGGGAAAAGGTAGAGGTTATTGACAGTTTTATTAAAAAATTTTTCTTTGATTGTGAAATTCTTTACATTTCATTTTTTAAAAATCTTACATTTTAAATTATATGGATAATACATATTCATGGTAAAAAAAAAAAAAAACTATGTAGACAAAGCAAGAGCATACGGACCAACTGTAAGTGACTATAAGTGACTTTTGGAAGAGAACCACTGACTACAACTCACTGGGGAATGACTGTACATGTTTAGCACAGATTCTCAAGACTGCAAGAAAACTGAACCTCTAAGACTTTATTCTTGGTTTTATTCCAAAGTGAACAGGAACAATAAGTTAATAAGTACAAGAAAAATTTTCACCAAATCTTTTATTTTTTATGAACTATCTTTGCTGCACAGATGTTAAATGAATAATCAGTATTTTCTTTGTACTTAAAATCAAGAATTTCTTCCTACCTTACAACTAAAAATTAAGTTATACATAGTTGAGTATTATAGCAATCATTTTTAAATTAAAAATCAAAACCATTCCATTAAATTTCCATTTTCCTATAGGAAATATTTATGCAAGGAAAAAGAATTGCTTACGAGTTTGAACTAAGTTAGCCAAAATCAGATAAACCTAATTATTTTAAAATATTTTATATAAATTCAACAAAGTCAAAAGAGATCAATGAAAATACAGAAATTTGAAAAACAAAAGAATTATCTTTAAAGTTATTCATTCAAATTTTATGCACATAGATATTGCATGACCTGTTATATCCATAGATTTGAATTTCTGAACAAGAACAGAAAAGATACAACTTCTGAGGGAATACTGGACCCAAAAGAGCTGGGTAGATCTCCAGGGAACAGCAGAAAAAAAATTTAATCTCCAAATAAATTCCGTGTTTAAATCACGTGTGTATGAGGGTGTGTGTGATGGGGAAGAGGGGCACTCAGCAGAACTAGTCAACATAAATATTTGTTTCTTCATTTTTATGAGGTGTAGGAATCAATTAAGTGCATAAATTAAAATGTTCATGTCAAACTCATCAGCATATCAATTAATAAAATAAACTACACCCAAGCATTCTTGATCAACAAAAGAAAATACTTAACATTAAGAAATTTCATCCACATAATTTTTCTAAACTGAATCCCAAAATGAACGAATCTCAAATCAGGAGTCATACTTTTGTATGAACAAATCTGACCTTGTGGAAAATTTATTCCTTCATATGGGTCATGTAAAATTATCATGATCAGATTTCATATGCAACTTTTACAAAGAGAAACATCACTGAATTAGCTCATTATCTATCTCATACGGAAAAATCTTAAAAAATTGTGCCTCAATTTTGCTTATATGGCACACACTAAGGAACTTAGAGCTAAAACATTTAGTCTTAGGGAAGTGTGCTATTGTGTCTGGTTCTCTATTAAGAACCAAGGAGAACTTCTGTCAGGACAGACTACCTAAGTAGCATTTGAAAAAAAAAAAAAAAAAAAAAAAAGAACCAAACAATTTTTACCCCAAAAAAAAAAAGAACTTCTCGCGAGACAGACTACCAAAATAGCTTTTAAAAAAAAAAAAAAAAAAAAAGGTACCAAACATTTTCTATCCCTAGAAGAAATTGAATTTAGCCTAAGGAAGTATTTCAGTCTCTGTAGGAACAAGAAAAAAGATAAATTACCCAAATTCTCTCTCTCAGCCCATCTGTCATTTCCCTATTTTTGCTTTTTACCAGCTAGGATTTTCGTATTGGGTGAAAGGTCAAAGGACTCATTTGCATGAGAATCCACTGAGAAGAGGACAGCTGGTAGCCCAAGGAAGGATAACTGGATCAGGATCCCCACTCCTAGCAACTATTAAATACATGATCCAGGATAAAAGATCTAAAGTAATGGAATCAAATTAGTAGATTACATATTGTGGAGCTAATGGTTCCAGCAGAAGGTCTGAGAGCTTATACTCTCATAAACCTACCCTGAGGCAGCTAAGTTAGACGCTTACAAGGAAGGCTAACTGGCTTTTTCAATGGCTAAAGTCAGTCAACCTTCCAAGTACACAAGCACTTACTGAATACATGATTTAAAACAAGAGAAGATCAACAGTGGTGCAACAGTAAAATGCAAATGACTGCAGGACTGACCCACATGAGAAGGTCACAGGTTCACATACAGAGAACTAAGTCCACAGGCACACCCATGTCCATGACTCAGGACTGGCTGAAGCCAGGAGTGGACTGAGGCATCAAGACTCCATTGGGAGAGCTTGCTCATGCTGGCGCTCTCTTTCTTTGTCTGACTCATGGCAGAAGTAAATGTTTTCTTAGAAAGGAGTAAGAGATGTAATATTTAGACTCACAATATAATAAGATAAATGACCAAAAAATCTAAGTGGACATTTTAAAATCCCATAAAAGTAATGTGGATGATATGACTGGAAGGTAGCCTCTGATCAGTTCTTTCATAACAAATAGGGCTGCTGATAGTGATGATACAGGAAAACAAGGAGGAGAGATGGATCTACAACATATTGCTTTCATTCCACCCATCACCTGCACACTAAAGTCTACATTCAACACAACTCTCTGCTCTACCCTGATTCCACCTTACCTCCCCAATGTCACTATCCATCCTAGTCCAAGCCACATTATTCTAGTCTTCTGTCCATGCTTCTTCTTGTCTCTCTGCCTTATTGCTCATTCTTTTTTTTTTTATTTTTATTTTTAATTTTTCTCTCCACATTAAAGCCAGCAGGATCTTGCAAAAACTACACACTGTCATTTCCTTTGTCAAAATTCAAGTTTCCATCACCTACTAGTTAACATCGAAATTCCTTTGTACAGCATACAAGCCATTCAAAATCTATCATTATCTCCTGTTATTTTCATTACTCCCCCTTGCCTACCTTGAAGCCAACCACACCTTAGCAGTTTCCAGAACACAACATACCTCAATGCCTTTGCACACGTTGGTCATTCTTTCTTGCAAAACCTCCCTATTCTTTAAGTCTCAGCCCAATACTACCTTCTCGGTGAAACCTCTCGATTCCCTTAGTCCTCTGTTCTTGTTCTGATAAGATTATGATGATTTTAATTTTTCATGTACTCATTAAACTCTAAGATCCTAGAGGACAGAGAATACATTATTTCATATTTGTTTAGTAGTGTTTATCAAAATAGAGTTACTCAATAAATGTTAGATAAATGAAATATAAGAACAGTTAGCATCCCCTAAACACCTAAATTTTGTGTAGTATTTTAGTGATTCCTGTTTAGTCCTCATAAAAACCCACTCATGAGAAGGTACTATTAGCAACATAATTGTATCATCTCACTTTACTTCAAAACCCAGAAGTTCTAGCATCACCATAGCTCATGCTTTTTAACTGGTATAAACTATGGCTAAATAAACAAATATAGATATGGTGATATAATGGAGATAAGAAAATACTGGTGAAAAGCATGCATCCCTGATGTAGCTAAGCAAAGGGTGTGGGGAGTAGATGAAAGGGCAGTATGAAATTAAATACATTTAGAAAGGTAAACTGAAGACATCAGTCTACAATGCAAACTACTGATTCCCACAATTATCTGGGCTGAACTTTGTTAAAAAAGATTGTAAAATGCATTCCTCTTTGTATCAGCACCATAATCTTTAGTATTCTCCCAAATTCCTTATCAAAACTCTTAGTTTCCTGGGACACTGAGAGATATACCCCCAAAATATCTTACTGTAAAATTATTTGAGGAAATGCTAGGTGGATTATAATAGTTTTTCCAATCTTACTCGAACACGAACCCCTCTCCTAAAGCTTACTGACCAAGTGTTCAGTGAGACATTTTGAGATTTTTGTGCTGTCCCTACAATGCCACCATTTGTGAAGTGACCTGTTCACTCATCTCCAAGTCAAATTAGGTAAATTAAGGCAGAATATAGAAAGCAAGTGCTAAGCAAAGTACAAAGTCTAAGAAGTATATAATCTATAAGGAAGATGAAATGTTTTTAGGTACGTCAAATCCAAAGAGCTGTTGTTTTCTACATACCCCCACAGTATGTTTCTACTTCTATAACTGTATTTATCTAGCTAGAATTTAACAAGCTACCTGTACACATTTGCTCTACGAATTGATTTACTCAAAGTTATTTTTATTTGTAGTAAGCCCAGCAGCAAAAGTATTAAATAGTTAGTAAACTGAACTGCCAAAAGTATTCTGATTCAAAAAATTATTCAAAGGCAATATGTTAGCACTGTTATGTCACCATGCATACTGTAGCATATCTGACAACAAATGATTATCAATACCTTATTAAACCAATTTCCACTTACACAAATATCATAAACTAAACACTACAAGACACAAACTGTGAAAGTAATTTTAGAAGGTCAAAGTACACTTTTTATGTTCTTTTTATCATTAGGTATTGTAGATTATATTTCACAACTTCATAATTTCAATTAGCTTTACTATTACAATTAAAAATTTCACATTACAACGGTTCATCAAGGCACTTCCAAAATGATTTTACTAGCCAATATTGGACATCTTAGAATTAAATATGCATTGACATAAAACTTATCGATCACTTTTCCTACATGTCCTTTTCATGTTCTTTTCTAATAGGAGAAAAGATGATGTAATCATTATTATAACCAAATCACACTATTTAGCACACTTTCTAAGGAATCTACCTACAGTATTAAATTACATTCAGTACAGTTTTATTCTTCACTCTATAGTAATCTAAAATATCTCAATTCTAAACACTCCTTGATATTAGAACAGTGACTATAATAGATATATAACTCACATTTACCATGTGTAAGGGGAAACGGTAGTAGATTAAGTGTGCCATAAACTAATTCAACTTTCTATGACTCAAAAATAGCCCTCATCTCTGGAATTACATTAAATTAGCAAATAAATCAAAAGCTCCATTTGAGAATTATTGATACTTTGGAGTATTTCATACCAAATATTTGAACTAATGATCTGTCATCTTTCATACCAAATATATGAACTGATGATCTGTCACCTATTGCTGGGAAATAATGAGATTGATTCATGAACTGCAATAAATTTAAAATAATATGATAAACTATGTATTGAAAACCAAATTATCCTATCTCTTCTTTTATAAGTACTTTCACAGTTTAGGTTTTCATTGTCACCTTGAAAATATCCATGAAAAATAAGAGATTAGAGATTAAAAAAAAAAAAAGTTTTCTTTTTCTTACCTATTCGGTCAAAGGTTTTATCACATTTAGGGCACTGCAATATTTTTTTGTTACTGTTCTGAATGACTACTGGAGTTAAACCCTCATGAATACTTCCTACAGAATCACCAGCCTCAGGTTCCTCTTCTGCATCATTATTATCTTTTTCACTTTGTTCTTCAATGTCAGAGTATTCATCTGACATCTCCTCTTCTAGCTCATCTTCTTCAGCATTATATTCACTTCCAGCATCCTCAGAATCATTTCTATCTGACTTTTCCTTATCAAAACTTTCTTGATTCAAATTGTCCGAGCCATCACCACTTTCTTGTTCATCATCACTGGTGTCATCAAACTTAACAGGGCACTTTCGATTCCTTTTTGATCTTCTGGAGGAAAAACTTCTCTCCAGCATTGTTAACCCATGTTTTTTCCCTAACAAAAGGGACCTATGAGTTTTAGCCAAGTGATTCTCTAAGGACTTTTTATAACAAAAATGCCTACTACAGAATTTGCACTGATGATTACTTGACAGTCTTCCAGTTAGTTCACTTAGAGTTTCTTCTGGTGATGGCTTTTCAGTTAGTTCTGACTGAAAAGAGGCAACATTTTCATTATTTAGCAGTTTCACTGCGTCTATAATGTCCAAAAATTTTGCCGCCTCTAAAACAAGAGGTATTTCATATTTGTACACAAAAAATTCTGATGTGTAAAGAAATTCAAGCAAATGCTGAAAAACTGAATGTGTTACGTGATCCAGGGTGACAACATCAGTGCTTGGGTTTTTGCTCAAACACGCATGAAAATAACTACTGCCAACAGCCACGACTACTTTATGCGCACTAAATTCTTTTCCTTCTACTACGATAAGCAAATCGCAGAAAGATGGTTGTTTCTGCCTGTCATCATTTAAATACTTGAGCAAATTCTTATTATACTGCAAAGAACTCAGAAGTTTTCTCTGATCTGGAGAGGGAGGAAGTTCCTGATAACAGTGAAGAGCTTCAGGAGTTGGTCTTTCTGCAGAATGAGTGTAGGTCACGTGGTCACACTCTACTGCAACATTTCCCTCGGAAGAATCTTTGTGATAGCCTAGATGGATCTTCTCGTCAAGATTTGAAGTAACCTTTCTCCTTTTCTTCATTGCAGTACAGCGATTTCAGAACAAGAAACTTCATAAGTGTCTTAAGAGATTCATAAAAGAAAACTAGATTGTCTTGGCTAACGGCTTCTGGAGGGGCGTGCCCGAGGGTTTCATGGTCTGCAAAAGAGTAAGAACGACGTAAAATAACTCCACAGCAAAGCAAATCCTAAATCTGTCTACGTACACAACTAATCTTCCCTAAATTATAACTAAATCATGAAAAAGTCACAGCTTACACTCATACTGGCTAAGGTTTCTGGGCGGAGAACAAGGAGGGCCGGGTTAGAAAACACAGCCAACAAAAGAATAATTTTAAAGGAAGCCAGAGCACACCTTCCAGGCCTGAGCCACGTACAGGGTGGAAATAATCGGGCAGAAAAAGGAGCGATTCCTCGGAGATCGTTGACGGCGCAGGTTGAAGGGGGCTCCGGTCATGGTTTAGGGGCGCTCGGATGGTGACAATAAGGCCGTCGCGACCGCAAATTTCGAGTCTTTGCATGAACACGCTTTCCCAGGGCGAGCAAGGCTCAGCCCTTCGGCAACAGAGAGCACCCCTCGGCCAAAACCACCGCGAGAGGCCGGCCCCAGGACGGGCGCCGAGCCAGGGAAGCGGGGTCGACCGGAGGGACCAGACAGCCAGCACAAGAGCCTTCCCAGGCCCTGCCAGGCGCGGAGTGCGCGCGCCGACCGCCAACCCGCTACCCTTCCCACCCAGTGTCCCTGAGCAGACGCCCCGCAGATCCTTTACCGGGAACCCAGGGCTCCCCCGCTGGCTCCCGGCCGCTGAGCTCCACTCCGGGCGCGCTCGCACCAGCGGCGACCCACTTCCGGGTTCAGCCCCCACCTCACCCCCTCCCCTCCCAGAGCCTCGCCGCCTCCGCAGCCGGCGAACACGTCAACCGCGCGCAGCCTCCCAGCCGCCCGCAGCGACCGGCGCGCGGCCCAGCGCCTGCCGGTGCGCATGTGCGCGCGCTCTGCTTCGCGCATGCTCCGTCGGCTTTTCTGACTGCGCTGGGAACCGCAGCGACATCGGGAGTCCGTTGCTCCGGGTTTTCGCGGTGGCTCGGTACTCTGCTGTGATTGAACCGGCGTAGCTTTGCTGCGGGAGGGGAACGCTGGAGCGGATGGGGAGTGTAGAGAAATTGGCAGAGGCTCAATAGAGCGAGCGGATTTCGTGCTCACTGATGTATTTGATAGTTCGTAATCAAGAAAACTGCAACCGCCGGAAACCAGTCCCGCACACACGCTGCAAGCTCCCAAAGAGCTCTGTTGACTTTTTATTATTTTTCTGATTTAAACGGCTAGACTTAAACGTAGTTCCTCCTGATATTTTTTAAGTGGGTATTGTACACAGAAAAAAATAGAACAGTGCACAGGTAAATGTACAACTGGCAGGACAGGAAAGAACCAAAACAAAAAGAAAATCCACAAGGCACAAGGAGCAGGTGCCTGAGATTTTGCATTTCTAACGGAGCCACTAGTGGTGCTATTATTAAAAACCACATTGTGAAACCCATTACCCTACGTGGTGTGATTGTGCAGACAGAAGGAAATTAAGAAAGCGGAGACCAAATACCTAAGTGTGGAATTGGAGACCCCACGTCTTCCCCACCCAGGAAACCCACATACATATAGCAAGAACTGGAGAGTTTGGAGTGTGAAACAGAAAATTTGCCTGTCTGAAATTTTCTAGAACATTGAAAGCAAGATTTTTAAACGTTCCATGAAAATTCCTAGCAAAAATGAATACTCGAATTAATTCAGACAAGGATTCGAATCACTATGCCATTCATCCCACAAAAACTAGCCACATTGAAGGATAAATAAATTCATAGTGATAAGAATTGTAGAAACAAAAGCTGCAGGGGGCCACCAGGTGGCAGGGTGGTTGAGGTGCTGGACTCCCACTTGCCTAACTGCCATCGGAGTCCTGGAGGCTTACTTTCTCACTTCACCTGTCCCCTGTACCCATGATCACACGTGTCCTATAGCAAAGTAAATAATGATAATAAAATATTTTTTAAAAGGCACAGGCTTTGAGTAAAGTTTGCAAATATTGGGATTATAAGAAACCAAATAAGTGTATTTAAAGAAGTAAAAGATAATTTAAAATTTCAAAAAGTACCATTATGTCTGTATATGCAAAGTTTTTTAAAAAAAGAAGATTAAGAGGGGGGCTGGGCTGGCAGGTGGTTAAGGTGCATGACTTAACCACGTGACTGTGGTATGAGTCCTTAACCTGGTAACTTAACTATCCTGATTGAATTTGCCTGTCTTAAAGCTGTTACTCTTTGCTTGATAGAATTGAGCAGAAAATCTGTTATATGTATGACAAATCTGAAAAATGTCAAGGCAATATAAATATGAATGCAGCAGTGATTAAAATGACGGATATAAGTCCTTAGCAAAATAGTCACAACGTATCATTTTTAAAAATATCAAAAGAAAATATCAGAATATATCATTTTTTAAAAATGACTCATAAAACTATAAAATAATTTTAATGAAATGATAGTAAACATGCAACATAGCAAAATTGAAAGATATATCCAAAGTCATGTGTTACAGGTATTGTATGTCTTTAAATTGATGTATTACAAAAAAAAAAGACTGTAAATTAATGAGCATCCAGCTTTTCAAGAAGTTAAGAATGAATGAAATGTAAATAAGAAGGAAAAAAAGCAATAAAACAGTAAGATTAGAAATTAATGGAAAAGGGGCCAGCAGAATATAGTGGTTAAGATACTAGACTCCACCATAGTCTACCATGGTTTGAGTCCCATACCTGGTGGCTTGAAACTCACAATGGTGCATGTGCATGCCCAAAATCCTGAAAGGGGAATGGAGGAGAAGGGATTGCAGTGTGACCATCCCCACAGGGGTGATTTTACACTGTGTCTCTGCCTCTTCAGTGAGTGCATGCACTCTATAGCTAAAAAAAAAACAAAACAAACAAAAAAAAAAAAAACAAGAAAAACAAGAAATTAATGATATTGAAAAGAAGCATAGTTACAGATCAGCAGAGTCAAATACTGGTTCTTTTTTTTTTATTTATTTTTTTTTTTTTGGAGAGATTTTTCACTGTAGGGCGCGTGCGCTCGCCAGACAGACAGAGAGAGACATAGAGACAGAAAGCGAGAAATCACCCCCCAGGGGGGATGGTCACGCCGCAATCCCTTCTCCTCCATTCTCCTCTCGGGATCTTGGGCACGCACGCACACGCGCCCGGCGTGAGTTTTAAGCCACCGGGTCCGGGACACGAACCGCGGTCGACTACGTGGGAGTCCAGCGACATAGCCATTACGCTGACTGCTGGTTCCCAAATACTGGTTCTTTGAAAAACAAATAGAATTGATAAAGGTAGCAAAACTGATAATATGTATACATATATGTATGTGTATACACACACACATACATACCTATATATATATGTATATCAGAAGTGAAGAAAGTATTATATACCAAACAGTCATTTAAAAGATAAGACAAAAATTATATTCCAATAAATTCAACAATATTAAATTAATATAACGATAAATTACTCGAAAAATAAAGCTTATTATTTGAATGGACTTATAAAATCTATCATTTCTTTAGCAAAAGTGGTCAAGAAAAAGGAAGAGCAAATAAAGAGTAATAAAACAGGTTAATACCACTACATACTCTAGAAATATTAGAAGATAAGAGAGTAGGCTAGCAGGTGGCATGGTGCTTAAGGCACCTGTTTACCACATGGCCAGCTGCAGTTCAAATCCCAGACCCAGTGGTTTGAAAATTGCAACAAATCAATAAATAGATAAATAAATGTTAAAAAAAAAAAAAAGATTAGGAAGGAGACAGGAGGTGGCATGGTGGTGGTGGTTAAGGCACTGAACTCCCACATGACTGACCGTGGTTTGAGTCCCCAACACAGCAGGTTAAAATCATGCCGGACATGTATGTGTGTATGCCCAAAATCCCAAGAGGAGAATGGACGAGAAGACATTGCAGCGTGACCATCTCCCTGGGGGTTGATTTCCCACTTTTCCTCTCCCCATCTCTTTTTGTCTCTGGCAAGTGCACACACCTTATAGCAAAAACCTAAATAATACAACAAAACAAAACAAAGTTATTTTGTGATAAATTTTAAAATTTACATAAAATAAATTCCTAGGATAATATATGCTAGCAAAATTGAGTCAAATTAAGAACTGAATAGTGCTATTTTTTTTTTTTGGAGAGGTTTTTGCTATAGGGCGCATGTGTTTGCCAGGCAGAGAGAGACAGAGAGACAGAAAGCGAGAAAGCCCCCCCCCGGGGGGGGTGGCCACTCCTCAATCCCTTCTCCTCCATTCTCCTCTCGGGATCTTGGGCATGCACACACACGCGCCCGGCGTGAGTTTTAAGCCACGCATCCGTGACGTGAACCGTGGTCAACTACATGGGAGTCCAGCAGCATAGCCATTATGCTAACTGCTGGCCCCGAATAGTGCTATTTTTATTTTTTAAAAATTTATAATAAAAAGTGTCTCCCCACAAATAAGAACTCTAGCCCAGATAGTAAATACTACCTATCATTTAACATAGAACTATATCCAGTTTTACAAAACTCTTAGAAAATTTTATTTAAAAGAGCGGTACATGACACCTCGTTTTATGAGACCAGCAGAGTTGTTATTATTTTTTAATAACAAAAGCTGGCAAAGATATTGCAAGAAATGAAAATTAGAAGTCAAACTCACATGGGGCAGTAGCACAACAGTAAAATGTGATGCTGCGCAGGCGATCCCACATGGGAAGGTTCTGGGCTCAAGTTCGAAGACCTCCCTGAGTATGCCAGACATGCATTTGCCCATGGTCCATGGCTGGCTGAAGGCTAGGGATGGATCTGATGAAGGAACGCTGTTGAAGCTTCTGCTTCTCTGTCTCTCTCTGTCACTCATGGAAGAAATAAATAGATAAACTTCAAAACAAAACAAAATAAAACTCACTCAGAAACTAATGTGCAAACAACATTGAATTCAAGGAGTGTGAGAGTGCGTGTGTGTGTGTGTGTGTGTGTTTACATTCAGGGACAACAGAAAAAAAAGAGATATACAATTCAGCTAAATTGGATTTAACACAAGAATGTGAGTTTTGTTTTAATATTCGAAAATAAACTAATACAATTTCTCATTAAGAGGAAGAAAACGACTGATCATCTCAGTAGATGAAGAGTAATATTTGATCAGTTTAGCCCATAGCCATGATTCCAAAAAAGATCTTAAACTAAAAATAGAAAATACTCCTTAATTTGACAAATAGAATCTACAAAAACAAACAAACAAAACACAGAGTAAATAAAATGCTTAATAATAACATGTTGAAAATTTCCAAGTAATTTGAGGATGTGCCAAGAATGCCTTCTGTCATCATTTGACATTTTAATAGAGGCCTTACCCAGGAGAAACAAGCATGAATAAGAAAAGTACAAGAATTAGGAAGAGTAAAATTAATTATTTACTGGAGACATGCTGGGATATCTAGAAAATATTTTAAAAATCTGTGGTTAAATTATTAGTCAATAAAGTGTCAGGATATAATGTTCAAAAGCAAAATAAAATAGTATTTATATTCCTATAATAGTCATACTGGCTAATTTTATCTGTCAATTTGACAAGCCTCCCTAGTAGCTAGGAGGTGCTTAATTCTTGGATCAAATATCTATCTAGATGTTGCGCTGTGAAGGTTTTGTTTAGCTGTGATCAACTGTAATCAGGCTTTAACATGGTGGGCCTCATTTCAATAAATTGAAGGCCTAAAGAGCAAATATTGAGGTTTCCTGAAGAAGAAAAAATTCTCAAGACTTCAATTTAGAAACCCAGCCTGAAATTTTAGTTTGCTGCGCCACAGAATTCACATCTAAGACTGGAACTTCAACCCTTACCTGAATTTCCAGACTGTGGGCCTGTCCAATGGATTTCAGGCTTGCCAACTCTCACAAACACGTGATACAATTCTTTAAAACCTATCTATCTAGCTAATCTGTCTGTCTAACCAATTCTGTTTCTCTAGAGAACCCTGACTAATACACCAGCAATGAACACT